GGAAGCTTCTCGGTTTGGGACTTGCAAGATCCAAGCTGCTGAGTAATCAATAAACTTCTAAATACCGAAGTGTGGTATCGTTTTCACTTGCCTTATCTGTCTTATAGGTAGATGTGGCATCTTCTCTGGAATTACTTTTCCTCCATCCAAGAATGGTATCTTTAACCAATGGAGATGCACAAGGTAATGTATCAATTTCACTTGAAGCTTACTTGTAGTTTTGGGCTTGGTCAAGTGTGATACAAACCCTATAGTAGGAGTCCCCCAAGTCTCTGAGCGAGGAGATCTGCCGAAAGAGGTGACAGATAAGGTAAGCAATTTGAGTTCCAAGCAATCAGTCTTAGATCAGTAGTTTGATTTCGAGTTCCAGGTAATTGTTCTCATTCTCCATATCTTGCAGGCAGTAAGAAGGATAAAGAAAAGAAAAATGAGAAGAAATGATATAAGATACTTTAATTTTTGAAGAAATAACTTTCCACAGGCTTATTCTTGAACTAGGCTTGAGGGTTTTCTGGTTTCCTCCAAAGTATAAGGCCGACTCAAGAATTTGAGGGTCAAAACAAGTCCATCAAATCAAGTGTGTGTTCGACCTTGATGATATGAGATACTTTTGCTGTTGACAAAGTAATAGATGAATCTGCACGTGTTCTGTTGCACTTGCCTCCACATGCTTCCTTGTATCCTTTTCACTTGCCCTATCTGTTCTTCAGGCAGATGTGGTATTTTTTCTGGAAGCATAAGATGTTGAAGATGAGTACTCGAGAGCAATGTCAGGTAAGTAATCAGGCAATGAGTTCCAGGCAGTCAGTTCCTGACTGGAAGCTTGATTTCAAGTGCTGAATGATTGCTCTCTTTCTCCTTGTCTTGCAGGTAAGCATGATATGGGATACTCTTGCTTTTAACCCTGATGATATGAGATACTCTTACTCTGGTGTGGCTTATTTGCAGAGGTATTATCGGGGGGAAAAGAAGCTGAGTATTTTGAGAGACTCTGCTGAGAGTGCCCTCTTGGATGTGAAGAAAAGTTGAGCATTTTTTTTATTTGCAGATCTGCATGGGTGTGGAGGATGAAGGTCAACATATATAGGAATTATCCCAACAGCGAGTAGTAACGTTATTCCTTTACCCTTCTTGGTTATAACAATGTAGTGGAAGCTACAAGATTCACGTGTTTTAACTTTGTTAGAGCACTTTGAAAAAGTGGTCTGTGGTATCTGGAAAGCTGATGTTGCGTGTGAAGATTGCAGACAAGCTTTATCCAAGGAAATCTGGCTCTCGAAGTTCGAAGAGCGGTGCCTCTTCGGTTTTCTAACAAGCAATCCTATCGGGATCTGGCTCTCGAGATTCGGAGAATGATGCCTCTTCGATTATTGAGAAAGCAATCATGTTAGGAGTCTGGCTTTCGAGATTCTGAGAGCGGTGCCTCTTCGATTTTTGAGAAAGAAATCATGGTGGGAGTTTAGCTTTCGAAATTCGGAGAGCGGTGCCTCTTCGATTTTTGAGCAAGCAATCCTGGTGGGAGTCTGGCTTTGAGATTCGGAGAGCGGTGCCTCTTCGATTTTGGGAAAGCAATCCTGGTGGGAGTCTGGCTCTTGAGATTCAGATAGCGATACCTCTTCGATTTTTGAGCAAGTAATCATGTTGGGAGTGTTTTCTCGATATGAGTAAAGGTTGGGCATTTTTGCCATTCTACCTTGCCACGGAGCACGGAGGTTGACACACATAGGGACTTTCCAGTTATCAAGCAGTGGTGTTATTCCTTTACCCTTGTGGGTAATGATAGGGTAGCTGGACCTTCAAAATTTACGTGTCTAAACTTTGTCAGAGATCTTTGGCAAAGTTATTTGTGGTACCCAAGGAGCTGATGTTGCTTGTGGGGATTGTCGACATATTTTACTCAGGAAAATCTGCTTCTCGAAATCCGGAGAGTGGTGCATCTTCGATTTTTGAACAAACGGCTATGCTGCCATTTCTTTTATAGGGGCACCAATAGTGTGCAAAAGTACGTTCAGAGAGTTATTGCTTGTAAGAATTTTCCCCTTGTTTTTGTACTTCAGAGATTTATTGGACCTCATTTCTCCTTCATCATTTCTGAAAATGTCAGGCCTATCCGACCATTGTTTTGACTTGAACTTTGGTAAAGAGGCAGCCATGCCTCCTCAAGACAACATATGGCGCCCATCCTTCTTATCCTCTACTAGTCTTCTTACCGTTATGGACTCTGTGATGAAGAATGATATGACTGCTGCGGTGGTGGCCAGAAACATTCTCACTCCCAAAGATAACAGACTACTTTCCAAATGGTCTGATGAGTTGGTTGTTAAGGATTCTCTGGCTCTCAGTGTTCAGTGTGCAGGTTCTGTGTCTAATATGGCCCAACGCCTATTTGCTCGAACCCGCTAAGTTGAATCATTGGCGGCTGAAGTGATAAGTTTCAAACAAGAGATTAGAGGGCTCAAGCATGAGAATAAACAATTGCACAGGCTCGCACATGACTATGCCATAAACATGAAGAGGAAGCTTGACTAGCTGCAGGAATCTGATGGTCAAATTTTACTTAATCATCAGAGGTTTGTAGGTTTGTTCCAAAGACATTTATTACCTTCGTCTTCTGGGGCTATACTGCGTAATGAAGCTCCAAACGATCAACCTTCGGTGCCTCCTCCTTCTGAGGTTCTGCCCAGTACTGAGGCTCCAAATGATCACCCACCGGTGCCTTCTCTTTCTGGGGCTCTGCCAACTGCTGAGACTTCTCTTGAGTAACCTTTGTGAAGACTCCCTCTTGTTTGTTTATTTTGATTCATGTATATGTACATATTTGTAACTTATCGGAGATATCAATAAATAAGCTTTGCTTCAATTCAACGTATTGTGTTAAATACACCAAAGCCTTCTTCACTAAGTTCTTTGAATTTTTTTCTTTTGTTGAAGCTTGTATGTTGAAGCTTTATGAGTGAAGCATGTAGGTTGAAGTAGTGCTCCTTTAATTTCTCGAGTGAGGAAAACTTCTTGGTTGGAGACTTGAAAGATCCAAGTCACTGAGTAGTCGTGAACCTTCCAAGTACTGAGGTGTAGTAGCATATGGTAGGAGTCCCCCAAGTCTTTGGTCGAGGGAGTTGACGAATGAGGTGTCTTGCTAGTAGCTAAGTTTCCAAAGTAACAAAACTTCACCATTTTCCTTTCTAAGTGGTAGTCCAAAACTCCTCATTCATATATATTTGTTATGAAAGTTGTTAGGCCCAAAGAAGAGGAGGCCTAGGCCTTTTTTTTTGTCGATTTTCCGAATTTCCGAATTTTCGAATTTCCGAAAAAAAATTAATATATATATATATATATATATTTAAGCTTTATAGGTTAAGTTTTGGTGTTGAAGCTTTGTAGGTGAAGCTTTGAGGTTGAAACTTTGTTGGGTATCATGAATTGATTTTGCTTCACACTATCTTGATCAAGAGTGTGTGAAGCTTTTGGCATTTGTAGTTGAAGCTTTGGTGTTGAAACTTTGTAGGTGAAGTTTTTGTGTTGAAGCTTTGTAGGTGAAGCTTTTGTGTTGAAGCTTTGTAGGTGAAGCTTTGGAGTTGAAGCTTTTGTAGGTGAAGCTTTGGAGTTGAAGCTTTGTAGGTGAAGCTTTTGTGTTGAAGCTTTGTAGGCGAAGCTTTGGAGTTGAAACTTTTGTAGGTGAAGTTTTGGAGTTAAAGCTTTATAGGTGAAGCTTTTGTGTTGAAGCTTTGTAGGTGAAGGTTTTGTGTTGAAGCTTTGTAGGTGAAGCTTTATAGGTGAAGCTTTGGTGTTGAAGCTTTGTAGGTGAAGGTTTTGTGTTGAAGCTTTGTAGGTGAAGGTTTTGTGTTGAAGCTTTGTAGGTGAAGCTTTATATATTATGATATTTGTTACAAGTGTCGGCCATAAATCATCGTTCAAACTATTTATTTTTACCTTTGCCTCACCATGAAGTTTAAAAATTATAGTGATACGTTCCGTTATATTCTTGAGGGTGGAACCCTATTTTAACAATGTTTTGGGCCTCACTACTATATTTTTCACTTATTTTTTGTTTTCGAATTAAATAGTCTACTAAATATACATTTGTTGCTCAATAAATCGTAAATTTGCTTCCAAATGCTTTATAAATTTTCCTTAATTGTCACGGAAAATATTTCGTGAAAATAAAAAATTTACGTTTTAACAAAAAACGTGGGTTAACACTCACGGTTTTTTGTCTGTTTTTACAAATTCGTACATAAATCGTCGTTCAAACTATTTATTTTCACCTTCGCCTCATCGTGAAGTTTGAAAATTAAATTAATACTTTCCGTTAATATTCTTGAGGGTGGTTTTGGACCTCTCTACTATATTTTTCATTTATCCTTTTAGTTTTGGACTTAAATAATCTACTAAATATACATTTGTTGCTTAATACATTGTACATCCACTTCCAAATGCCTTATAAAATTTTCCTTAATACTTATGGAAAATATTTCGTGAAAATAAAAAATTTGCAGTTTTTGACAAAAATCGTGGGCTAACACTCACAGTTTTTAGTCGGTTTTGTAAATTCGTAAATAAATCATCGTTCAATATTTTTAATTTCACCTTCGCCTCACCGTGAAGTTTTGAAAATTAAGCTTGGGGTAGGGCAAAAATAACATGAAAATTAATTCTGAATGGTGTTTGTGGAAATTGGCAAATCGATAAAAAAATCGAATGCTTTAGTTTTGCGAGGAATTTTGCACTCAAATTAAGGGCAAAGTTTTTAAGTCCTTTGGAAGTGGTCTTGTAATTTATGGAACTCCAGAAGTATTTTTTATGACACTATTTTATTCATTTCACCGGCTAGTTTTTTTTTTAATTTTTTAATTTTTTAATTTTTTAATTTTTATGAAAAACCGGCTAGCTAAAATTGTACAAAGCTTAGGGTGGGGCAAAAGTGACATGAAATTGGGTTCTGAATGTAGTTTCTAAGTTGCATGCGAATTAAGGAATAATACATAGAAAACGCTAGTAAGTCCCGGAAGTCATTTCCAACATATAATTCAAAAAGATTAGGGTGCGACAACAAAACAAAACATTTTTAATGGACCTTTTAGAAATACAGAAATTGGTCAAGTCTAAATTTATTTACAACTGCCGTGTGTTTCTCAATTTGGTAAAAATATCCATAAAAGAATGCAAACCAAACCCCGGACACCAACCCCATCCTTAGTATGATTTCTCAGGTGACTTGAAAAGAAACTAACACTAAACTCTTGGAGTCGCTCAAAAATCCTTGGTACGAATAAGCCTCAAGGCTCAAGCCAACCATGGTCTCCGCTTCAGCCCACATACCTGTTTCACAAGCCCCGGTGTTTCAGAAACTAACACTCTCTGAACATCCATCTTCCACTCAGGTCACTTATAGATACCATCGCAACCCCCGGTGTTTCACAAGCCCAAAATCAGTTTGCTGCTATCAAATGAGCTTCGTGCCACTGTTCATATATGTAGGATGCACATTATCTATGCTCCTACTTTTATATACAGTAGATATAGGAGGAACCATATCCAAAACTTTTTGGCTTGGCTACAGCTTGAAAATTTTGAGGGGGGGGGAATATGAAGAAATTGCGTATAGGAATCAGTTAAATGCTGTTGACAACTATTAGCAAGGGTCAAGGTAGAACCGTCTAGTCTGAAAGCATCTCCTCCAATTCAGGTTCCTCGGAGTTGAAAGCGTCATAATCCACGCCTGTTCGGTTTAACAGATCATTGTCCAAGGGGCCACTTTCATATTCATCCTCATCAGTATCAGGCCATTCTGGATCATCTTCCATGTTTTGGGCATGAAATTCTACTTCGTCTTTTCTTGTTATATTATTACTCTTACCGTATTTTCTAGGTCCCACATCCCTCTTGGCTTTGGCCTGGGAATCTTCACATATGCAGGTATATGGGTTCTCATGAAAACCACCCCTACCTGGCCTCACTTCATTCGGCTCACCCATAAAGCCTCTCTGATAAGTACGAACATTAGAAGCAAAAGCTCCCCAGGTCATGTTCTCTTTGCTTAGGAACAAGCGGTAGAGTTTTTTAGCATTTGGACGAATGGTAGGCTTATGTCCAAAATATCTCCTGCAACAAATAAAAGATGTGAAAACTAAGCAGGCAGGGGGGAAGAAGAATAAGATAAGAAGAGAAATGAAAAGGGAAAGAAAGACAGCACACCTTCGTCCGGCTAATATTTTGGCCATATTGCCATTGTTGTTGGTGACAAAGACATCACTCTCATCACAAACTATAAAGTCAAGTGCCGCCATACGAGAAGAAAATGAATAAAACGGTTCCAGTTCCTCCTTGGTTGCTATTGTCTCTTTTGAATAAAAGTTGGGGAATAGTGCCTTAAGGGGTGCCAATGTTTCTTCTCCTCCATAGACTTCCCCTGATGCCACATAGATGTGAACATCGCTGCCATAACCCAGTGCTCTCAACATCAGACCGACTTCCTCTGGAGTAAGTGGACACCTCCCATGCCTCCTAGGCTTATCAGGATTGCTAATCTGCAACTCCATCCAAAATACATCTTATAGACTACCTTCTAAAAGATACAGAGCAATGGGATATAAATCGACTCGATACACACATCATACTTGATTAGAGACTAAAGTCTGGAACAGGCAGAGGCCTAGCATTGTTCAGAACATTTTCTTTTCAATTTCCTATCTCACAGTTGCTTATTTTTTACTATTTACTAAACAAACATAAGCGCGCGCACAACTTGCGCTTGCACATTTATTAGAATAAAAAATAGAGGGTCGGGTTTTAATCAATTTACTCTCAGTATCTGATTCAGGGGAAATAAGATGACATAAATCCAAAAGGACAATCTTAATCCTTACATGTAAAGTCTTCCACCTCTTTCGTATGGCACCCAGTTCTTTCCTTTCCTTGTCTCCTCCACCATAATAACATCCTGAGAATGCAAGCATATCAGGTTCATACCTGTAACAGTAAACATTTAACTGCATCAAGAAACAACTTCACAAGTAAGCTTTAAAATTTGCAGAATCTTGTTTCTAATATGGGGGCAACCTGTTAGTTGCCCAACTGTGTGAAGGTATTTGGGGGTTTGTGTTAGCCTACTCATGATCATGCACTTGTAAGTGTTTCTGTAAAGGCTTTTTAGACAAAATGGTCCCTAAGATTTGCATAACACGTCTGAGATTGAAAATCAATAGAAATGGTCCCTGAGATCGTCCACCATCGATTATTTTGGTCCTTCCATTAAAAACTCCGTTAAGTGTCCCCGAGCTCTTGGCCGAAAGTTTGGACAATTTTCAAGGCTTCGTAACTCAATCATTTCTTAACCAAATTCGACCCATAATATATCAAAATGAAGATAGAAAAGTGTAGAACAAAATTATACCTATTTGGAAGTCCAATGGTTGCCGGAGATGGCCGGAAAATAGCCCAAAAGGTGACTGGTCTGCGGGAAAACTGGAAAACTCACCGGAAATTGGGTAAACTTTAAACGTTCATAACTTCTTCAATACTCAACAAAATTGAGTGATTCAAAACGAAAATCATACTTCTTGACGAAACGAAGAAAATGGTACCTTTCTCAACAGCTAAATCACCGTGGTTTAGCCGGAAAACAGCTCGAAAGTGGTTGTCTTGGTCTCGAGTTAGCCACTTTCGAACCGTTTTCCTGCCAAACCACGACAAATTAGCCATCGAGAAAGGTAACATTCTCTTCGTCTCGTTGAAAAGTATGATTTTTGTTTTTGAATCACTCGATTTCGTTATGTATTGAAGAAGTCATGAACGTTTAAAGTTTACCTAGTTTCCGGCGAGTTTTCCAGTTTTCCCGCGGACCAGTCACCTTTTAGGCTATTTTCTGGCCATCTCCGGCAACCATTGGGCTTCCAAAAAGGTATAATCTTGTTCTACATTTTCATATCTTCATTTTGACATATTATGGGTCGAATTTGGTTAAGAAACGATTGAGTTACGAAGCTTTGAAAATTGCCCAAACTTCCGGCCAAAAGCTCTGGGACACTTAATAGAGTTTTTAACGGAAGGACCAAAAAATTGGATGGTGGACAATCTCAAGGACTATTTCTATTGATTTTTCAATCTCAGAGACCAAAGTGATGTGTTATGTAAATCTCAGGGTCCATTTTGGCTAAAAAGCCTTATGTAAATGTATCAACTAGATATGGAAAGCAGGTATACTAATATACATAGAAATATGATCATGGAACAAGGTTTGACCTACAATTTTATGGCTCAATCTAAATATGCAAGAAAGACAGGGCAATAACGCTAGTTTAAATGGTCGTTCTATACATAAAAACAATAAAAGATGGATAAAATTACCTCAGGTGCAATGCGATATAATGCTTGCTTCTCATCCTCATTCGATGAACCAACTTTTTAGCCATTTTCTGTATTGGGTCAGTAAACTTTAAAGCATGGTAGTTGACTCTACATCTTAATTTTTGCAGATCTGTATTCAACCTGTTTGCAAGTCTGTAATCAAACTTGTTGAGCTGAACGGCCTGTTGCAGAATGAAAACTAATAAGTGCCTTTTCCATAAATTTTGTATACTTGTAGAAAGATAATTCAAGAAGACGTATCTAGGGATGCAAACAAGTGGTGCCATCCATTAAGGGATCAAATCAATCACTAGAGCCACACTCAAAGCTAAACTTACACTTATTTAGTAAACGAGCCCAACCTTGGGGCTTGGCTCATGTACTTGCAAGCCTGAATATATTGTTTTTATTTTAAATGCAATAATATAATCCTTATGAAAAACAAAATGTCTGACCAAGAAAAATGCAAGGTATGCTATGCCTTTCCATGTTTACTTCACATCGGGTTCATCGGTTATGCAATGTTTCGATTTTCAGACAAGAACCATTTGGTCCACAAGATTGGGCACTAGATAAGTGCACGAAATATGGAAATATCATGTATTTCGAAATTAACAGTTGGCAAACAAACAGCGGAACACAAAAATAAGCAAAGGAGAAGGCAGTAGTGATGCAACTTACAGAGGAAAAGAAGTTTCTACATTCAATAAGAATTAAAAGCTTAAGAAGCTTAAGAGAACTGAAAACTTACATGCCTTTTCAAAAGAACAGGTAATACACGATTTTGATAACATCTTTCACTACACTTCCTTGGAACACGCATAGTGGATGGTGTCCACATTTTACCTCCCTTTCTTGGAAGCTGCTTTATGATTTTAACATCTTTTGACAGAAATGATATGAACCAATCAACATCAAAGATCTCTGAAAAGTTACTGCAAAAAAAAAAAAAAAACAAAACAAAACAAAACAATTGATTGAAACATGTCCATGCAATTACAAAATCCAGATTGCAAGTAAGTATGGAAGCATAGATATGATTCAAGGACTGACCTTGCATCCTTCCAGAAAGATTTCTGGTCCAACTTTGGAACAACAAGACTAGCATTCAGTATACGAGCTGCTACAACAGCATCTGTGATCTACCAAAGGTATAGGTAGAGTAAGCTCCTCACTAAAAGCAACAAAACTATACAAATAATCTATAATCAAGGAGCACAAATGCGACAGGATAGGTTACAAGATGATGACTGGAATAGTACATCCGTATCCCATTATAAGGGGTGACTAAACTAATTCCAGTGAAAAATCAACTAAACCAAAGCCAATCAAGCTATGTCACTAATTATACTCTCAGACTAAGAATACGGATGTCAACTAATAAAGTAAAAGACTATGTCTCCAGAGCCCTCACACATGCAAGGAAAATGGTTGGAAATGCATACATGTAAGCATCAATATTTTATTTAACACCAGGAAAACTCTTGGTCTATATTATACCCTGGTTATGCATCAGTTGAACTGTTCAGAGTTAGGGTGGAATCAAGTATCCCCTCTGACAGCCTCTGGAACCATCAATGCAGTAACGATGACTATAATGCTGCAGAAGATAAACAAAAGTAAAGAAAAAAAAAAGAAAAAGTAAGTTACCCCAGTTCTTTGTTGATTCAAGCCTCCACTGGTTGCAATCGCCAAGTACCTATTAGGACGCGTAATTTCATCAACATCTGCAAATATGGACCAGATAGCGTTCAGGATTATATTAAAAACAGTGATGTCATTGTTAACACAAATGGAAGTGTCATTTTACGAACCATATAAAACAAACATATAACAGAAACCACAAACAAGTAGCAACAACGCATAATTGTGGTCAATCAATTACGAAACCCTATAGACCATGATATACTAAATGGAAAGCAAATCGGAATAAGAAACAGACCTGGAAATTTCTTGGTGGCATTGCTGCATCCATAGTAGAATTTGGAATTCCTGGAGCTCCAAAGATCACGATCTAATCTCCCTCCACCGCTCTGATTTTGAACAAGTAAAGAGAAGCCGTAAAGATCCAAACCAAACCTAACATTACATTAGGTTGAAATCCAAAATTGAGAAGGAAAAAGAAAAGGCCCTAACCGGAACACGGAAGACTGTAAGCCCTGCAGCAACGGCATCGTCGTCCACGGCATCATTGAACTAGAAGGAAAAGATGAAATTAGGATCCGAATCCAATCAAATGAATCGTTAATTGTGAATAAGAAGAAATTCGTGAAAGGGAGAGAGAGTACCTTAGAAGAATGACGTAGTTGATTATTGACATCGAGAGGGGAAGGAGCGAGAACCAAGAGAAGTGCGAAGAGGATGAGAAGTGCTCCGGAGATGGCTGAAATGAGGGGAAGGAGAAAGCGAAAGCGATGGTAGTAGTGGAGGCGGCGGCGCTGGAAATGAAAAGGCATTGGTACAGTGGCACGGCGGGTCTCTTTAAAAGAGTCGCACACTCAATTACACACCTCTCTTGTTTTATTTTGGTTTGTGTGGGTTTTTTAGTTTGGAATCTGGATGAATGAATTATGAAACAGATCGACCACCAAGCACCACCGCCCTCCCACTACCCGCAGAGGCTGAGACTTAAGGTTGTGCGATGTGGATGGGGTGTGTGGGTTGGCAGCCTGGCACCCAGCACAACGAGTAGACTACTGGCCCCCCCCCCCTCTCTCTCTATTGTACGAGACGATACGAACCGGTTTTGTTGCTGACACTCTGCTCTCTGCTCTGCTCCCGTGCCAAATTTGAAATGGAGGTGGATTGTCTGCCATTTTCATACTCCTCTTAATGATCACGTCAATATTTTATATTAATTTTTTTATAAAAATAATAAAACAAAAAAAGTAAGCATATAAAATATTAACGTAGCTTAACTATAACCACACAAAACAAAAGAAAATGATAAAAGTATGAGAATGGAAAGCAGACAATCCATCTCCATTTGAAATAAACATTTACAGATTCTCCCTTCACCAGCACAGATAACTATTTGATTTTTCCTTACCCTTTTTATTTTCTTTTGGTCTAGAAGCGTTAGCACACGTGCTTGCTTCTTCCACGCCTAGTAGTAACTTTTTGTTTTTTATTTTTTTTTCGTATGCATAATTAGTAACTTTATTTATTTATTTTTGCAAATTGCAGCAAGTCCGTTTTAACCAAGTTTTGAGTTCTAAATTTGTTGGTGATGGCGATGGTGGGGTGGTTTCTTAGCTTAAAATGAAGTTGCAGCAAGTCCGTTTTAACCAAGTTTTGAGTTCTAAATTTGTTGGTGATGGCGATGGTGGGGTGGTTTCTTCGCTTAAAATGAAGTGTTGTCGATTGATTGGTTTGCCAAACAGATGGATGCATGTGGCATAGTGCTTCCCATCCACTTCCAAGTTCTGGCAGTTGACCTTTTGCCTTTGGAGGTGGGAGTAGGGTTGTAACATTTGTTCATTTTCTCCGTCTGCGCTCCACCCATTTCCATTCACATTCCAAAACCAAGGAAGAGGATCCTCTCCCTCTCCGGATGTCTATAGATGTTGACAATGAATTTCTGAAACTTACTTCTCTCCCAAAAAGAGGAAAGCAGATATTAGCTAACATATTAGTTCTAAGTTATCGCTGGTGGGATGCCGTGGAGATTTCTATAGCAACCCCCAGACCCAGTCTGCTCTTCCCATCCATCCCTTCAAATTTCGTCCCCAGAATTCCAATTTTATTGTTGAGCGGTCCAACCCACGATGGACTTTGGGCTTTTTTCACTAAGGGGGCGTTTGTTTCACCTCCTTAGGAGGGACTGGACTGGACTGGACTGGACTACAGTCCCATGTTTGATAGGTGTTGGGACTAAGTTAAGTGGAACTAAAGGGGACTCGTGTGGACTACGGGGCTCGCTAGGTAGTCTTAGCGAGACCCTCCAAATACCACCGGATTGCTAAGATCGTTGCTCTGCTCGACTCCTCAGCGCTTTGCTTGACTGCTCACCCTGCTCGACAACCTCACCGGACCATCCCAGGACAACCGCCGCGTCCTCGTAAATCGCCGCTCTCATTTCCTTCTTCCTCACTGCCTCGCACATTAAAATATCCAAAACATCTAACCCCAGATTCGGAGTCCACAACCTTCCACAGTCCACAAACAGAGACAAATTTAACAAAGAAGACAGAATCCAAACAAAAAAACAGCAGCAGAGAAGACAGAATCCAACCCCAGATTCGGAGTCCACAACCTCCGAATTTTGCAAAATGTAGAATCGAGCTTCGTTTTTCTCGTTTGTCCACCGGGTCTTCCTCTTCGATTTGTCCACCGGGTCTTCCTCTTCGATTTGTCCTCCACCGGGTCTTCCTCTTCGTTTTTCTCCTCCTCTGGTGGACAAGCCCGACGATCCCATGAACAAAAACCAGAAAAACGAAGCTCGATTCTTCATTTTGCAGAATTTTTTTTGCAATTAATCAGTTTTGGCAATTAATCAGAAAAAAGAGGAAAGGGACGGAGAGTGTGGGACGGAGAGAACGAGGAAGAAAATGATGGAGGCTTCCAGAGAGAGGGAGAGTATTATTAGAAGAAAAAAAGATAGAATTAATTAATATAATATTATTAGATATGAATTAAAAAATATAAAATATTGTAGTTTGTTATTATCCTTCTTTTTAGTCCGACACTGCACCAAATGCTTCACTAAATCAGTCCAGCTTAGTCTAGTCTAAGCCAGTCCAGCTTAGTCCCTGAAGCTAATCCAGTCCGAGATAGTCCGGTGCAACAAACGCACCCTAAAGGTCAAAACTCTGCTTTCTCTCTCTAACATTAAGACATCAATTTTTTTTTTTTAATTCCTCGATATTTTTACGTTAAGAAGAGGGAGAGTTTGACAAAGTCACATAATGGGCAGCCTAATGTAGTATCGAATTCGCCATTCATGAGATTCGAACATAAAACCTCTCACTTTCAAGGAAAGAAGAATACCACCAAATTGAATGACAACATTAAGACTTCAATTAGATTTTGAGATCTTTAATTTTAGGACATGAAAAATGCTAAAAAGATTATGTAAATAGTGGAATTGTACTAAAAAAATAAGACGGTGAAGAGTTCATAAAAAATATTTTTTAAGAGTCATTTCTCTCAATATATATTGTTGAAATATCATTGAATCAAAAGTAAAAAAGTGAGTATATAACTCGAACTAAGATTGCAGTTACTTTTTAACTGTGATAACCAGCTTACATATTATCCAATAGTGCAGCCGCACGGTAATTTTCGTGGAGTATATTATACGCACGTTTAAAGCACACGTGCAAAGGCCTCGGCTCCTCATCCCCTGCGGTGTAGTTTGGAGTCTCAAGTCTCACCAACTGCGTCTGGCGTGTTTGTTGTTGTTGATGGCAAGAACACTAGAGTAGCAGTAGTAGGAATAGGGATATTAGGGAATTGCGAGACTTAATTGAATTCTCATTCTATTGGATTTTTAGGAGGAAAAGGGCAGCTAACGAAACCATGTATTGGTTGACGGTCAAGCCCTCTTTCATCTTACCCAAATTGTCTCCGCCGTCGTCGTCGTCTTCTTCTTCTTCTTCTGCACATTGTCGAGCTGGGCCGTGTTCTTCCTCTATCAGCTTCCCAATAAAGACGAGAAACAGAGGAAACAGACGCCCACTGAGACTTGATGCTTACGATTCCTCAAAGAGCGACACTCCCAATGGCTCTGCCGATTCCAACCCTCCCAACGCCACCACTCTGGTACTATCTCAATTTTACTCCCCTTTGTTAATGTTATGCTAGTCTAGTTGTCGTTTACTGGCCGTTTATATAGTAATTTTAGCGTATTTGAGTTTGTATGTTACTGAACAATTGATATGGATTATGGATGACGATGATGATATTGCTCAGATGGTAACAACAATACCCGCAAACTAGAGCTTTGAATCAACGCGTCATGCTTCATTTCGCCAACTATCTAGTTGAAACACATATATGATTGTTTTGCTAGCTAGCTCATATCATTGACTGAACTTCTTGCTGGCTACTTTCCTCAACTCGACAGCCAAAGAGCAGGAGAGAAATTCTGTTGGAGTATGTCAAAAATGTGCAGCCAGAATTTATGGAGCTGTTTGTAAAAAGGGCGCCCCAGCAGGTATTTCTACGTTTATTTGCCATTAGTGCATACTATCTTAATGTCGACGAGGGTGTATTACCATGACCTACTAATGCAATTTTCATGCCTTCTCCACTGACTTGACAGCATGTTAACGCTTATTCATGTAGGTTGTTGATGCAATGCGCCAAACAGTGACAAACATGATTGGAACATTACCCCCACAATTTTTTGCAGTGACAGTGACCACCGTAAGTCTATAACTTTTATTCTTTCTTTTCGTTGCCATATCAGCTTGAGTATAGTAACATATGATTTGATGGGGTTCTTTATGTTGGAATTTGGGCGGCTGACTGATTTTAAACTGATGCAAATTTCATCTGATCTGAGTATAGCAACATTTAAGGAATTTATGTACTCAGTGGGATTGGTTAACTTCCATCTCAGGTCGCAGAAAATCTTGCACAACTCATGTACAGTATCATGATGACTGGATATATGTTTCAGAATGCACAGTACAGGTTGGAACTGCAGCAAGGTTTAGAGCAGCCAGCTGCTCTTCCTGATGTGCAAGATACAAAGGTAATATTTTTTCTCATTTTCTTTTCACTTTCTATTTATGAACCATACTCATCCTTTTGGTCGTTGAGGAAACCTTCTACCACATTATCATTTACCGAAGAAAAACCATACTGTGAATTTGAGAAGGCTTTGGCTTACCATGTATTTGTTATTGTGTATTTCTGATGGAACTGAGATTAGGTCGTGATGGCAAGTTCAATCATCTGACCCGTGTCACTAACATGCAAACTCCTGCTTCTCCTAAGTAATATGTAGAGTTTGTGCATTCGCTCATTCTGATGTTTCTGATACATTTTTCATAGTCGTTTATATGACTTTTTTCAATCTTTCTTGTTTAGTTATCGAGAAGTTCTGCTGTACAACCTTTAAATAGTGCCCTGTGACTGTTACAGGATGCACCAGATTATGCACCCGGTACACAGAAGAACGTGTCAGGTGAAGTTATTAGGTGGAATAATGTTTCTGGCCCTGAGAGAATAGATGCTAAGAAGTACATTGAGTTACTTGAAGCAGAGATTGAGGAACTAAATAACCAAGTTGGTAGGAAATCCACGGGCGGACAAAATGAATTGTTGGAATATCTGAAGTCTCTTGAACCCCAAAATTTAAAGGTAAACAACAACCCTCTGCTTATCCCAACTACTTTTGGTTGGCTAAATGTTTAGGTTCGTGGCTGGCAGCTGTGCAATGGTAGGTTTGTGACTAAATTGTAAGTCCTTTCTGTTGGAACGTCTCAAGGCGCACACTACTATTATTAATATGTTACTGTTATTGTCCGAGGTAAAATTTTGGTTGAAAAGATCATATGAGTTGGCTGCGCCATCATCCACAACATATTGTAGCTATCTAATGTGAATTGTACTACTGTTATTTTTACAAAGGAGAAAAGCACTCATAGTTGTTTGTCATGAAAATTATCCATTATTGCTTCTGAAATTAGTAGATTTATTTATAAAGGTCCATAAACCTCTCTGACTTCTGGTTAAATGTCTTCAAGGAATTGACGAGCAGTGCTGGAGACGATGTTGTGGTTGCGATGAATACATTCATCAAGCGGCTTTTGGCTGTTTCTGATCCTGGCCAAATGAAGGTTTGCCATATCATATTGCTCTTAAGTTGATGAATGCATTCATCAAGTAACCTTGTTGAACAACTGGTATGTGTTGGTACAGACAAGTATGACAGAGACAACTGCACCAGAACTTGCGAAGCTGCTGTATTGGCTGATGGTTGTTGGATACAGCATTCGCAATATCGAAGTTCGTTTTGATATGGAACGAGTACTTGGGACTCCACCGAAGCTCGCAGAATTGCCTCCAGGAGAAAACGTTTAATTACTCGGCAAAGAATTGCAAAATAGGCGTGGAAGTTAATGAGAGGGGATGTCGGAGGGTGGTGGTCTTCCATAGAGATACTCGCAAGCATGGAAGGAGAGAAAAAATTAGATGAAAATTAGGAGGCGGCCCGGGATTTCTACTTTTAGCAAGAAACTCCAAATAATATTTTTTTTAGCAATAAACTTGAACTTTTGTCCTAATTCATTTTTTATTTTGGTCCGTCTTTTATGTTGTTTGAAAACCATTTTTCCAATAACAGATTGACTAATGATTAGAAGAAAAAAAAAAACTACACTAAATACAACATTAAAAACCCCAAATAAGATTTTGTTTCGAATATTTGTACTGGGCTAGCCTGCTACCGCTACTGCAAGGGCGGCCGAATATCCCTGATTACAAATAGAAGCATGACACAATTAATTCAAAAAAAAAAAAAATGCGAACTTGTTCCACAAGGCTATTACTATTAGGCACTGTTAATCTTGTTTAGACAACTGCAGACCGATTTAGGCACACTTATCCTTGTTTACACGAGCAACAACTTACAAATTAACACCATCGGATAGAAAATTAGAAGGGCATCCCGTCATCCAAAACCGCCCATTACTAAGTAACATCCACACTCGGCTCACCTAATTTTCTACAATCTACAATACATCAGTGCTTGTTTGTTCCCAGACCTTCCTAGTTGGTCCATTTTATTCAATATTAGTCGCACTACGTATTAATCGCCCCACTGTGGTCTCATCAGGACCTAAACCGGTGTCTTTGTATTCTAGGATCTCTTTTCTGCTAAAGTGCTTCTCATGTCCTCTCTCTTTCCTTCACAAGGCCCTAAACCCTTAGGCCTCGTTCCAACACCACGCACCCCACCCACCCCCCCCCCCCCCACTAAAAAAATAAAGGAAACTTGCTCGAGCCAGAGTTCTACCAATATATTAGGCGGCTCCTTTCCTGGTAGTGTAGTTAAATGAGAGTCTTCTGGCCCAAGGGCTTTCACTAGGTGACCAAGAAATTGGGAAGCCGAGCACCGCACACCATCTTAAATTCAAAAGGGCAGCAGCAAGGTTCTCTTCAGAATCTTCAAAAAGCTGTACTATTCGTGATTCCGCTTCCATGTCTTCAGCAAATATAAAGACATCCTCATATTCTGCCTTTTCTGGAAAGCTTCCATCTTCATTGCATATCATACGCATACTCAAAACCTGCAGTGCTTCCATGGCTGTGCTGTGAAAGCCACAGTTCACATATGCCGAGAAAACAAAATGGCAGGTCGCTGGATCAGGCTGGATCTTTTCTTGGTGCATCCATTCAACTACTAATTCAACTGCCTCAATCAATTCCTAACATTCATTTTAGGGAAGAAAAAAAAAAAGAAAGATAAACTATTAGCAAGCAGTGCAACAACATAATATTTGGTTGACCAAACTGTCATAATTTATATCAAGAACCACATTGCTTTTTTGATCTTACAGACACTTCATTTTGAAAGAGAAAAAGGGCACATATGAGATACCTTTTCACAGGCTTTTTGGAGAATGGTATTGAATAACAAAGAATCAAGTTTGTTCCCTTCTGAGCTGGCTTGATCCAAAAGATTCAATGCTTCATCAATGTCATCATCTTCCAACAGAATCTGAAACAAGATAGGCTCACAACATCATAACCCATACTAGATACATATAAAAAGAGGGAATGCACTAACAAGGATAAAAACACCCTTATTAAAACCTTCTACCTTTATGAGAGCAGTGTAAGTCACTGTTACCGGATAAAAGCCATCTCGCAACATCATGGATATCAATGCAGAAGCAGATCTATAACATTTCAGAATGCTACAGCAATCAATCATTATATTATACGTCGCAGCATCTGCCGGGAAACCAAATGACTTCATACTCTTAAATATCTTAATTGCCATTTGACTCTGCATGTAAAGCAGATAACACTGGTCAAATGTTGCACATATCATGAAGTTTCAAACTAAAGGAAAAGCAATAGTGTTGGAAGCACCTACTTCCTTAGCCTCAACAAGTGAATGCAACACCGTATTATAGATGGGTGTTCCCAGATCAACATTATTACGACAAAAAAGATTTTCTGCCACATGCAAATACTGGATCAGCTCTCTTATCATCCCCTCTGTTCCAAGGGCTTTCAACTGGAAAATAAAATAAAGAATGCCCCAAATGAGGTAAGGTGAAACAGGGAAAAAAGAAGAAAAAGAAAGGGACTGAATAGCAAGTAGGATTCCATGAAGGAAAAAAAAAAAAACAGGTAGCGCCCTTGTGAGCTTCAAGAAGTTTTAGTATTACCAAGCAGATGAACTTCAAGAAGGCAGAAAAGAAGTTTTAAATGATCTCATATAATCATAATATCAATGCAACACTAAGCAGTCATGAATGAAACTCCCTGCATGCACAATGAAAATTTTTACAACTATATGTTATTTTCCATCTGTGAGCAATGTCTTTTCTCTTCTAACGCTTTTACCAAAGACTTTGATATGCAAATGTTGCACTCTGTTAAACGATTGGAACTACTGTGTATGTGCACTGTTACAATTTTTTATTATTAACAAATAAAATTCTATCGCAGTACCCATAATAAACACAAGTTTACATATAAAACTTTTTGAGGAAACAAAATGTACATTTATCAAGCTCCTTATACCTTCAATTTGAATAGAGAATTAATTATTTGATAAACCATGCACAGAATGAAGAATATTTTGTCACCTATCAGATTAACATTTTATAACCACATTTTCCCATTATCAGATGATGATGTTCTTAAGATTTCCATCTACAAAATTATGTATCATGTCTCATAGTGCCCCTTGTCAGTCAAACGAGGCAGTATGCCACCTAGTCACCTACCAATACTCCATTTCATTCTCTAAATAAGGGAAGGAGATACATGAGGCTAGGGAGTTACCAAGTTGTTCATTGATAAGTAACTGTGCTGAATACCGTATCTTGCCATATCCATTTCTATAGCATTGATACGTTTAGCAGCATCCACCTGTGACAACATGTTGCCCTCTTCATATGGGGCATTCACGTTTCCAAATAATAAAAACAGCAGCTCGTACGTGTTAATATTAGGCATAACTTCTAATTGTTTCATTTTAGCCAACATCTGCACTGCTCGCTCAGGTTGATCCTGCATAGTTCACACAAAAATATTTTAATTGATTGGAAACAAAAAGAAAAAAACATGAACAAAGCTTTCAGGCACTGGAGAATTTTAAGTATGAAAATAAGAAAACAGATTGATATCCATCTGCTGCCCTCTGCTAGCACAAATACTCTTTTGGTGTGCCCATGTTAAATAACTTCTATTATTAGAGCCAAACAAATTTTTTAACTATCAAAACAAATATGAAGAACCAAAACTTGCACAAAGTTATTCCTGCCATTTACAATATTTAAACCATAGCAAAATCAATCTTAAACAATTACCTAACCAATTCTACTCTTCCTCGTAAAAAGTTCGGGACCAGGTTTTTTTCCCTTTTATTATAGACAAGGGTTTGAATGTTCAGTACCCTCTATCATAGATTACCTATGTGCGCTGCAATCCAATTTTAAGATTTTAAAAGTGCTAATTAACAAGGTCACAGAAGGAATTCTGATATGAGAACTCAGTTTTATACAATATCAGCTCACCGTTGTATCACATGCTGCAAAAAAAGCATTGAAAGGATGTGGATATGAACATTCAGATATTTGATCCAGCAGAGCCTCAGCTAAATTCAGTTCTAGCACTTTGCTGCAACCTATAGAAAGGGTGACAAGAGTGGAATCATATGGCTTCAGATTTCTCTGCTGCATATCTTGTAACTGCAGAAGGATAAAAAAAAAGTTGCAAAATTCTGTAATTAAAAGGCAAAACCAAAACGACCAAAATACATTGCCACCAAATGCAAGATCAGTTTTTTTTTATTTTTTATTTTTAAAAAAGATGATTGGCATATGCAGACCAATATAACTTACAATTTCCATTCCAATACTGAAACCTCTCTGAGAAGCAACTGCTCTGACAAAGCCATCATATGTATGGCTGGATGGTTGCAACCCAAAATTTTGCATCTAGACGAAAATGGGCCTCTTTAGTATGTCATAAGATGATATCTGAACCAAGTATATACAGAATAAAAAAGGGAAGGATAGAGAACCACGTAATTACACTAGAAGATTGAAATCCGCAAAGTAGCCATCACAGCAAAAGCATAGAAAACTGTAATTTAAAATTCTGCATCTTATAATTACATAGTTCCCCCAACAAGAATATCATATTTCAGTGAGTGTACATTTAAGATTTGCTTATATGAACAAAAAATAAAGCCATTTGAACATGTTTGTGTAATAGGAAATCACATAAACAAGCTAAAGTAAAAACGTTATTATACCTGTAGGATTAACTGCTCTGCCAGACCATCATTTCTCAACTGTGCACAAGCATGAATCACATCATTGAATGACCATCTCAAAATTTTCTTAACAGGCTTGCTTAAATGTTTATCAAGCATATCTAGCCGATTATTCTCAAGTTCTCCAACTCCCAAGCCAAAAGTAGTCGACTGATCTGCACTAACAGCATGATCATCCAAAGGTTTACAGTATATGGAAGGAACAGAAAGTTCATTCTCCTCCAAATCTAGTTTCCCCAAGCTTAATTCACAATTTGAAGGTATAGGAATGTCCAATCTTGAAGAAAACAACTTTCCATCAGAAGTTCTATTAACATTCGTGTTTCCCTTGGTGATTAAAGCCACCATACGTTGCAACGTCACATACGCAGATTTTAAATCTCCCAACCTAGTAAAGGACCAAATAAACTTCCGTAGAGGTATAATGCTCAGACTGTAGTGTTTGATATAGTCCTCCCAAATTTCATGTGCTGCAGGGAGGTTTTGTTGCCAAACTGCAAACTAGAAGAAACGAAAATGCAGGGTAACTATGATATGATCCATATAACTTAAAATCAGGTGGTCCTCTTATGCATGCTAAAAGTGAACAACAGGGAAAACATGTCATATCCTCAGACATGGTCAGGGGAAAATAACTAGGCATGTGAGTAAGTCATCCAGAAACATATCTTTGCAATCAAACAGTACAAACACTGTCAATTTTGTAATATCCATCCTTGAAAATTGACGTAAAAGAATAACTTTTTTTTCTTAAGTGAAATCCTGGAAGTGTGAAAATTCAAGAGAGCATCAAATCACCGTCCTCATCCTCATCAAAAATAGAAATGGCAATTGAAGATGATACTTCTGAATGTCACAGACAAATCAGGACACTATGTCCACCTTTTTATCCCTTACAAGCACATTGAAACATTACAACATAAAATATTTGAAGCCAAAATTGGGAGATTAATACTAATCTGAATATCAATCACCCAAACCAATTCCCTTGTTAGGTTATTTACGGTGATTAAAGCAAAAATAAAGGCCATACATTCTTTTATTTGCCTAAATAATAAATGGCTCAAGTGAAGAGGAAATTTTTGTGCGTGAAAAGAGGAAAGGAATGATATTTGAACAGATTAATACAAAAAATTGTTTTTCTTTACACACCTTGAGAAGCTCCGAATATGTAACTTCATTCTTCCCCGCCATTTGATGCTCCATCAAGTCCAAACACTGGTTGGCATTTATCATACTTTGCATTTTAGCACAAGCCCTTAAGAAACTGTTGTAGATAGGTAGAACTGGATAGATGCCTTGACTTTCTCCTAGGAAATTTATCAACTTAAATGCCTGATCAAAGAACAACAGGTAGACACACGAGTGCTAAGTTAATTAAAAGCGGCTGACAAAGAATGATGCTACGGGTATGGTTCCATGTTAATGGCAGCTCTGATAGTTCAATAGCTACAGTAAAGTAATAATATCACAGTAATCCTAAAATAGCTCTGCTATTACCAGCTGACTAGGGTAGCTAGATAATAATGATTAAGTCTATAGCATGAATCTTACCTCCTCTAAATATCCTCCTTTACATAGAGCTTGCATCATGAGCAAGGAGCATAAGTTATTCAGGGTAATCTCCTTTTCATCCATTACTCTCCAAGTCTCCATTACAAACTGCACGAAAAGAAAACAACTAAGTTTAATGTTAGGACCCAAACAAAGATACACTTGGAAGCAACTAGTGCCGTGCCAAAAAATTGGAAGATGCCATCCTTATCTTCACAATGGCATAGCTGAATCAAGCCAAGGGGTAGGATGAGACAATTATAACAGTTAGTTCATTTTCAGAAAGTTATATCAGTCAAAGAGAATTGACAATGTGATCCTACTGATATACATGGAGTAACATTGTCTACAAATAATATTCTAAGCTTTCCTTTGATACTGTTCAAATTACCATAATCAGCTACAAACATCAACAACTTAAATGATGATTAAAGAGCTAGCAAAACAAATCATCTACCTAGTTGATGTAAACAATATGTAGCATAATAAAAGAGACATGCAACCCTTAAATTCCACGTTCGTCAGCTTACCAATGGATCAGGTGACCTGGCACAGTACTTAAGAATATGAAGGAAATCATCAGCTCCTAAGGAATGGTTCACGTGGCTAAGATTCAAAAGCATATTTGAAGCTTTGCCCCTCTCACCCAAGCGTAGTGCATCAACAATTTGCATCTGCACGGACCTTGTAATAGATTCTGCTCCGTGCCACATAACTTGATGACCTGCATTAATCACTATGCACCGAAACTCAGAAAAAAAGACTTGCACATTAATGCTCTACAACTTTTATGTCCATTTGGACTTGTGAACGGGTATAATTGCACGAAGGCAGAACAGGCAAGAATTCACATGCACAAGCGAGAAAACAGAGAAGAGTAGAATAACAAAAGATTAATAAGTAGTGAGAGTGTAAAGCGTGAAGCAGATGGTAGGTAGACAGTTGCTAAAGAGTGGAAGAGTAGGGAAAGATTACCATTAGATGTTGTAAGAGTGCGAGGGGAGTCCAGTTTTTGAGAAGCAAGTCTTGGTCCCTAATGAAAAAAACAAAACTCTAGTAATCAAATCAAGCAGAGAAGCAATAAAGCGAAGAAGAAGATTATTATAATTACAAAGTTCGATTTCATTCGATTCCTGAGCAAACCCACAAGGGAGTGAACATTGCAACATTGGAACTTAACATACATGATGATGATGGTGATGGTGATGGTAGTGTGGTTGAGATTTACAAAGCCAATCTGAAATTGAGCGCAACGAAACCCTCGCTCTCACACTCGCTCTGTAAAAGTAAAACAAGCCAAACATGAATAGAATAGAATAGAATGAACCTAATTCCTAAATCCTAATTCCTAAATATGTAGGAGGACTGGAGGAGGTTCGACGAACTCACAGAGGTCGCCTGTGCATCATTGATTACTGTTAGATTATAAAGCTTCCTCGATCCTCAATCCTCCTAGCCTAGTCGAGCTCTTCTCTTCTGAATTATGTTTAGGGTTTAAGCATTTTGACGGAAACGGGACATTTCTCGGCAAAATTACAGACAGACATGGATTCCCTGGAGTAGGAGGGCTTCAAATTTCTCCGACTCCAGACTCGGGGACTCACTCTCCCCCCCCCCCCCAACTGCTGACTGCCAACTGCCGAGTCCCAACTGCGAACCTGTGTGACCCAATCCAAGCAACCCGATAAAAAGGCCCAGGCCTGCGCTTTTTTTTTTTTTTTTCCCCTTTCTCTTTACATTACTATTTCTTTTCTTTTATCATTTTTAAAGGAGGTTTTCTTTTTTCCAATTTCTTATTATTATTTTTTTTTTGAAACAAGTACGATATTCATTAACATAACGCAGAATTCATACAAACTGAGGGTAGTGTGCTAAGTGGACCTCGATAAAAACCTTGTCATGGCTTTCAACCCGGTCTAAGAAAAAAAGCGTCACACACAAACAAAGAGCTACCCTCAAAAGTACAATAGAAACTGAAATTACATGCTTTCCTCAAACAAAAGATCGTGGATCAAATCCGGAGGTTCCTCAAACCACAGTACATCATGGAAACAACCGGTGCCCATCCGTGCAAGGCGATGCGCAACTGAATTTCCTTCCCTCTGAATATAACCACACTCCATATAAGGCAACTCCAAAAAGAAATACCTCAAGTCATTTATAATCGTTCCCAAACCGGAATCATCGTCCCCTTTTCCTGCCATAGCAGCAACCACAACTGATGAACCCCTTTCAAATATGACCTTGACTACAGGTGACCAAAACCTCTTAAAGTACTCCACTGCATGACGAGCAGCAATTAGCTCTAACTGCAAAGCCAACGTCGACCCCTCAATAGGTCCCGTGGTAGCTCCCAAGAATCCTCCCGTATGATCTCTAACCACTACACCATAACCCTCCCCTAGAACCACCTTTACTCCATGCACCATCAAAATTACATTTGATCCATCCCACCCGAGGTTTCTTCCATTTTTGAAACACCCGAGTTGCCCCCAGGGTAAGGGATTTGTGCCATCTATGAAATTCATACAACCAACCTTCAGTCCTCAAAACTATCTCATGCGGTGGCAAACTAGTCCCCGTCCACAACACCTCATTTTTATGCTTCCAAATTGCCCAAATCAGCATCAACCAAAGCTCAAAACCCACCACGGAAAGGTTCTACGCACAAAACTTCATCCATTGCATGAAAGGCATTCAGTCCCACCTACTATCCACCCTCAACCCCAAACTTCGAAACCACACAGCTCTCGCCAAGTTACAATTACGAAGAACATGCTCAACTGCTTCTACCGGTACCCCACAAACCACACACGCCACTTCCCCTAATACTTTCCTTTTACTCAGATTCAGACGTGTGGATAATGAATCCAAGCAAGCACGCCAAACACAGATTTTCACTTTCCCCGGGACACTGGCATTCCAAATCTTCTTCCAGGACTTCTCCCCTAAACCACCAAAACAAGATGAAGAACCCGCAACACTAGGGCCATTATTATCAAATGAAAACTTTGAGTTTTAATGATAAAGACAAAATAAAGGGTAAAGTGAATAGTACCAGGATTGACTTTTTAGTGTAAAAATGTGGTTTTTCGTTAAAGTGAACAGTACGGTGCTTTTCGTTAAAGTTCCCTATTATCAATTATACTCCGAGCCACCTGATAGGCACTTCTTACTGAGAACTTCTCATTCCTTTCGTAATGCCATATACGCCTGTCTTCAACATCCCGAACGCTAAGCGGAATACTTTGGATTAGTTCCGCTTCCTCTGATGACAAAAGACCACTCAACAATTGAATATTCCACTGCTTCTGTGCTCCACACAATAGTTCTTCCACCTTGGCCTCCATGTTCCAGTGCCTCGGTGATGGTGTTAAAATTCGGAAAAAGGAGTCCCGCGGGATCCAATTGTCCTTCCAAATTCTGATGTTTTGCCTGTTGCCCACTCGCCATCGATGACCTTTATGTTTCTTGGTAAAAACAATTCCAAACTCTTTCGGCAGTCTTTTGATCGTCTATCGGTTAAATCGGAAGAAACCGCCATCCTTTTTACTTTTTTTGTTACAGTATCCATGAATTCCATTTTTTTATTTCACAAACGTGATTTGCTATTTGCCCCCTGAAGCAATCCAATATCCATAAAATCCTTAACAACACAATAAATTGACTTACATTTGAGTACAGGAAATCCTAGTTGAGAATCCGGACTAATCACAAAATATTAAAATCCTTATCAATTAATATATAAACGAAGAAAGGCTTATTATATTAACAGTTCACGTATTGTTGAATAAATCTTATATACTTAATACATCATACATTTACTTTTTCAATTGAAAATTATCTTAATACACCTCACATACTTGTCCATAATACTCTCACACCCCTACATTCTCAATATACACATTACATTTTCTAATACACCACACATTTTCTATACACCTCACATTCTTCAAATTTTATAGTACTCATTTGTTTCTTGAATCTCCCCTTGTTCAAAGTTTTCTGCTTTAGTACCCTTCCCATTAAGAAAACTTGGAAGTTCTTAGTAGTAAACCCTCATGTTTATCAACCATAACCACATGTTGCTCCTCACTTGTGAGGGCCAGTTGCGCCAAGAACTGGGAAACCATGTCCTCTATTATTGATCCTTCCAGAATCTCTAAATCCCACTTGGTTGTTCTAGCGATTGTTTTTTAGAGTAGTCGTAGCACTCCAATAAACATCCAGCAGACCAAACTGAAACATTTCTGTTAGAGATAGTGGTTATAGCAAACTAATATTATTTGCTAAGAATCATACACCTCAAGATCAAAATTATTTAAAATTATTGATTAGTAGCAGTAGTGACATTGTAAATAAACATTAGGCTTGAATCAATAATAGGCTGAAAAAAATATTGGGTAGTATGGTTTCCTGGGGAATCATAAGCAGGTACTTGGGAAGAAAGAAATGCCTCCTATAAAAAAAAATTTTGAAAAAAAAAATTGTGATCTTGATTCACAGTTTGATACCCGGCAATATACGAAAGTGCAGTGAAGGTTTTCAAAGATAGTTTTATTGGTTAGGGTTTTATTCAACAATGAGAGTGGAATGGACTTTGATAGTTGAAGAAGATAAATAATACGTTAAAAGTGATTTAGGGTCTATTTAGAAATTTCTTAATTTTTTTTAAAACCTAATAAAGTCGAAATTGTCATTGCATAGTAGGGTATATAAATAATTTAATATTAACTTTTAATGTGGGGTGCTAATAAAAAGAATAATGCTAGAGCGACCAAATTTGTATACAAAATTTTGTAAACTAAATGACATGGAAGTTGATGATTGGATTATGACTTAAGCGTTGATAAACAAACTCATTCCTATTGATGACACATCATTTAGTTTGTAAATTTTGTCTACAAATTTAGTTTCGCTAGCATTAAGCCATTAGGAAAAATTGTCACTTACCACTTTCAAATATCGTTAATTTTCAACTTTCATACCAAAAGCTTTTTTCGTCTCACTTTCATATCTAAAGTTTGAGTTTTGTGACACTTTCACACTTTCGTCTACTTATATGAACGTCGATGATTGCATAATATTTTGTGCCACGTGGATAAAATGGTAGTAATTTTGTTAGGTAATTCTTTTTCTATTTTATCCACTTGGCTCAAATATTATGTGTTCTGCGACATCCATGTAGGCAAATAACAGAGCCTTGACAGAAAGGCTAACAAAAGTATGAAAGTATCACAAAATTCAAACTTTAGGTATGAAAGTGGGACAAAAAAAACTTTAGGTATGAAAGTTGGAATTTCAAGATACTTGATATTAGTAAAGAGAGTTATAAACTAGGTAGTTGAAACCTCCAAGATTTTTTCTTTTTAACATTTATTTTTATTTTAAATTAAGAAATTGTCAAACAAAAGTACACACCATACTACGTTGATGATGAAAATGGAAGTGGAAATTTTTTCCAAAGAGAGAATTAAACCATCTTCCCCAACACCCTCCCACCTAAGAATTTTTAAGCTTTCCCTTTTGGATCAACTCATACATGCTCCCTTGCTCCCATTATCCTCTTTTATGACAATTCTTATACTATTATGATACTCCTACATCATAAGACCCTGCACTACTATCACTTTCCTTGAAGATGATGATCTCGAAGACAACAACAATGAAGACGATGATGATGCCACAATCATGAAAAGGTTGCATGCTCTGAAGACGTCTTTGTCAGAGATCTTGATTGGGTTTTACCCGCTTGCCGGGAAGATAAAAAATGACCTGACCATTGATTGCAACGACCAATGAGCCCATTACATGAAAACACAAGTGAAACTATACGCGAATTTTGAGTAATTATAATATATATGTTATATATAGCTTAACTAGTTATACAATTACACGTATACATGTTTATGTGTGTCATTTTTGAATTAGACATGAACATGGATAAATGATTATAATCAACTCCAATCATCAAATCCCCATATTTTGTGTTGTTTTGGAATTTGGAGTGTATCTTGTTCGAAATTGTATATAACCCTAAAATGTAATGTAAGTGGAGCGCTGCGGAGGTATCAATATCATCAAGACCGTCGAACGTGAAAAATGGAATAATAATCAAGAGACCAAAAGACAATACAACCCTTATCTTTCCCCTGTTTTTTTTGTTTTATTCTTATGCCATTTTGCCACCATGACCATTGAACCATTGACCATCCACAGCTCCAAAGAAAAGAGAGAATATAATAAATAATGGAATAATGAAAACCCAAACCATGGCTCATCTCCTTGTTCCTCCGATGATTGCCAATGCCATGGCTCATCTCCTTCCTCTCTCCTCTCCTTTATCCATCACTCTCTGCTTCTTTGCGTGGTTGCAAGCTTTCTTGGTCGTCCATGGCAATACTAATAACATCACCAATCCTTCTTCTCTCACCCCCATGAACCGCGATCTCTACCATTCCAGGTCACCTCTACTTTCTTTCTCAATTTGTTTTATTTCTTTACTTTATTCCAATCTTTTTGCACTAATCATGTATTTTGACTGATTAATCTCATCTGCCTTCTGCGGATTGTACCGAATGGTAGTTACTGGTTGATTCATGTATTTTTGGTTAAATCTTGAGATGGGTTTTCTGTTTCTTTTTTCTATAATTTCTTGTTTTCTGACTCTATGGTTGGTTAGGTTGGTCACAAGTTGTAGGGAACCTTGGCTATTCCCTCCCTCACCTTTCAATTATTTGCCTTACTTTGATCATGTGAACTTGTTATGAATTCCTCAGCCAATTTAATTTAACCCCGAAAACATCATCTACAATAAATGCATATTTGTCTGCAGTGGGGATTTGATGGAAGAAATTAAAGCTCTCGTCTTTCGGCACCCAGACGAGCTCACTGTAGGTTTCCTCTGCTTGAGAGTCTGATCATTTTTCTGAAATTCATTTCATATTCCAATACTTTGATGTTAATGGCAGTTGGATACAATGAAATCTCGAAACAAGGGCTACTCTGCTGAGATCGCAATAGTTACCTATTGCCGGAGAAGGCAAGAGACTGATGACCAGCCAAAGTTACGGATCCTTCTTGTAAGTTTTTTTTCATGTTTTATTATACGCTGAATTCGTTCTGACTATATTTTGCATAGTGGGCTGGCTGTTTATGGTCATAGATAATCTCAGATTGGTAATGGCTGGTGTTTTTGACAGATGATTCCTTGTCTTCCAGAGTTTTGGGCAGCATGGAAGGGAGCTTATTACATCCGAGCTTGCATTACGAATCCTATCAATCTTGAGTAAAGAACAGTTTCTACCCAACCTGGACCCCGTGTCCTTAGACAGTACCCTTGACAAGCTCTTGATAAAGGTAACATTTTTGTAATGTGCTGCAATTCTTAGCTATTTCTTTGGAGAGAGATACTTCAACAAGTTTGGTATTTTTTTTGAGTTCTGATATCTTATTTTATGTCAGGTGGTTCCGATGGAAAACTTAAATGGCCGTAGACTTGTTGAAGCAGGAGACCTCTGTGAGAGGAGAAATGGTAAAGCAATTGATTTTCTGGGATCTAAAATATATATGCACACACACGCACACAGAGACACACAGACACCATTATAAATAGAATTCTCTGTCAATCAAATGCTCCCCTATTATATGAAAGAACACTAATAAGAGATTTTTCCACGGATGGCATGGTAACTGTAAAATGCTCCCGTGTGTGGTAATTCTTCAAGATTTTATGTCTGTTTATGTGCATGAATCCTTGATTTATGTATCTCTTCTTATAAAGATTGTTGAATGCTTAATTTGCATATTGGACAGGGAGGGGAGTTGATCCCAACCGTAATTGGAGCGTGGATTGGGGAAAAAAAGAGAAGGTTAATCATACAATACTGCATTTATCATGTTGCTTGTTTATTTCATCATTTAAGTGTATTGAATTGATTAAGATGTCTTCTTTAGGTCGATGTTCTTTAAGATTATATAGCACTACACTTAATATATAACCCACCATTAGATGATGAGCTTCACGTATTGTTTCCTGCTTCGTCTCCTTAACTTCAATATTCAACTGTCATTCCAGTTCTGGTTCTATTTTGTGCTTAAGACTATTCTTTTGCTTTTATTTTGTTTTTCTATCCCAGGATTATGATCCATATGAGGAAAATCCTGGAACTGCTCCTTTCAGCGAGCCTGAAACTCAGATAATGCGGAAAGTTTCCATGTCATTTGATCCACACATATGGATTAATATACACTCTGGGATGGAGGTAGGTCACATAAACTTTCAGTTAGTATTCCCTCATGTTGACTCCGAAGTCATATCTACCATTTTTGAAGTTAATTATTAATGTAATTCCGTTTTACCAAATGCAATGTCACCCTATGGTTTGCCACTTTATACAATTTTACGTTCTTTTTCCAATTACCATTGAAGTGTCAAAGTGATCCTCAATTTTTTATTCTTTTCAACTTAGGGTTTGTGTACTCTGCATATGATACATTTCTTATATAGCTTCTGGTTTGTTCAGGCTCTATTTATGCCGTATGACCATAAGAACACAACCCCAGATGGACTTTCCTCCCACCAGATGAAGTCATTGCTTGAAGAACTCAACCAACTGCATTTCCAAAAGCGTTGCATGGTTGGGTCTGGTGGAGGTTCTGTTGGGTTAGTAATACTAAGTCATTATTATAATGTTCAGTTGATCGTTACCTGAAATTTTAAGATCAGATTCTATTCTTTACGTAACCACCTTTTGTGGTGGTAGCTGGACTGCAAGGCTAAGCCCTGCTGCGACTGAAATTTTAAGTGCTTTATTTGGCTCATTAACCTTTAGCCCCCACCCCCCCCCAAAAAAAAGAGCCAACATTTCTCCTCATGAGCCAAACTCATAGGTTTCAATGCTTACTCTTTCAAATGGTTTTTCATCAAGTTTTATTTCTAGGTACCTGGCACATGGGACAGCAACTGATTTTATGTTCGACATTGTAAAGGTGCCAATGGCTTTCACCTTTGAGGTTTGTCAAGTTATCCCTCATTTTCCCCTCAAAGTTCTGATCTTAAAGCAACCTGACCCAGACAAATTTGCATCCTTTTTCGTTGTGACTCAGATATATGGAGATGGAGCAGCCTCATCAAGAGATTGCTTCAAAATGTTCAATCCCACAGAATTGGGTACCTTCAATGTATGTCAGTTTTTTGGTCATCTTTTAAGTTTCTGCATATATTTGAAGGGTCAGTTAATGAAAACAGTATAAATCTTTTCGCTTTCAGAGAGTTCTCAATGAATGGTCAGCTGCATTTTTCACAATTTTTAAATTGGGGCCAGAGCAGCTTGGTGAAAATTATTCAAAGTCTTCTGTGCCCACCTTATTAGACAAGTGGGTATCCATAGATGAGTATCTTGAAGGGTACTTAGTCGAGAGGAGTAGTAGATACGGAAAGAAGATGGAGGTGCTTGAACTAGGAATGCAGGAGATAAGAACATATTTCAGGCTCTTCTTGTTATCGTCTGTTCTGTTAATGTTCATGTTCTGTTCCAGAATTTCAAAAAGCAAGTGTGCCAGACCAATTGTTTCTGCTATTGCAATCTGATACTGTGAAACGACTCCGTGTTAGAGGCTTCGTGCTGCACTGTATTGACCGACATGTTGTTCCGCACATTTCCTCCACTTCTCCATTGATTTTCAATACCAATTGTGAAACACCATGAGCAGCAAGAAGTTTAGGTCCATAATTTGAAGTGAATTTTTTTGATTTCACGTTCCCAGTTGTCATGGGAAAAAGGAGAAGCAAAAATAAGAAACATGTAGGGGGTGGGTGTATGCCAAATTTTTTAGAAAAGCTGTACTTTAAGTTGAATTTTTTATTTTGTACAAGTACGCACGATGGGAACAATATTCAAACCCATAATATTCTTTTCATTTAAGCGATCATCTCTTTGCTTGGATTGAATTTATACTCGCATTTTACTCGAATCTCTAAGCAATTAATCGTTGTTCTTGTTCATTCCTTGAATAACCAAGAGTTGACGTCACCATATTTGTTTGCATACTTCCTTCTGATAAATTTACAAAAACACATGCAACTTAGTTTTATAATTACATTCTACTTTATGATGAAAATAATCGGACAAATTTTTACAAGATACAAGCAATGAATCACATTTTATCTGGTGCAGCGGTGGTGCTTATGGAAAACAATTACAACCCAAAATTTGAGTGAGGTAATGGTAATGGTAATGCTAATGGTGATGGGGGTGTATTTCTTCAGCTGTTCTTGTGTCTGTCACTAGGGTGTGCTCAGTGTCATTGTTCCCATACTCCGGAACACGATTGCCCTTGATATTGGATACTCTTGCACGATGGCCAGTGCGAATCATCATTCCTGCAAAATCATCAGACTGTCGAAGATGCTGGCATATGTGAAACTTAATTCCACAAAATTTTGACTATCATAAAGATAAACGGGTTTGGCCTAACCTTCGTACCAGACCTGACTAGACCAAAATAATAGGTGAACACATTTAACTGTGGCTGTATGACTCAAATCATGTCATTTAGGATCTGAGTGTCTGTTTCATGTATTTCAGCGCAGACCGTAACATTGCCCTCGCTTTCCTATCTGGAGTGCAGCCAGACATAATCATTTCTTCATACACCGCTGGAACCTGAAACCAAAATCATGCAACTTATACATTCAAAATCAAATATATGTATGTGTGTGTGTGTGTGTGTGTGTATACATACATACATACATACCTGTGTGCATACACAGAAGTGAAATGGTAAAATATTCAATAAAACCTTATAAGCTGAAAGCCTGGCTGTTATGCATGCAACGGTTATCTATGCTAATATATTATATGAAATTCATACCTTACAAAATTTATCAACACGGATAAGGGTTTTCATAAGTGTAGTATACGTAACTACATCTGGTTTCAGGTCCTGCAGTTACAAGGAAACAAGATCAATTTTTGTACCAATCAGTGCAGTATCAGTGACTGTCACAACATTATAAATAACTTACATTTTCCTTCATGTACTGCAACACAGAAAAGGCCTCAGTATCCCTTCTATCTTCACCAAATGCGTTGATTAACGAATTGAGAGCCAAGGGACTGGGTTTTAATCCATCTGCTCTCATTACCCTAAACGCGTTCAGTGCTTGCTCTGACAAACCCTGTCAAAGATTCACAAGGAAGATCAAATCAAATGGATGCTCAACCCTCACACTCACGATAAGACAATCCAATTCACTATCAGGGATCCAAACAGAAAGACAAAACTGGTAGTCTGAAGTAAGAAGAATAGCTTTCTGGTTGATATCTATCTAAAAGCTTCAGCATCGGAATACAAGTAAATAAACACACACACACACACACCAAACAGAAAGACAAAACTGGTAGTCTGAAGTAAGAAGAATAGCTTTCTGGTTGATATCTATCTAAAAGCTTCAGCATCGGAATACAAGTAAGTAAATACACACACACACACACACTCCAAACAGAAAGACAAAACTGGTAGTCTGAAGTAAGAAGAATAGCTTTCTGGTTGATATCTATCTAAAAGCTTCAGCATCGGAATACAAGTAAAAACACACACACACACACACTCCAAACAGAAAGACAAAACTGGTAGTCTGAAGTAAGAAGAATAGCTTTCTGGTTGATATCTATCTAAAAGTAAGTAAATACACACACACACACACACTCCACACACACACACACGCTTCAGCATCGGAATACAAGTAAGTAAATACACACACACACACACAGAGCATCGGCATACAAGTACACACGCACACACATTAACATTAGAGTAAGGAAGACAACTTACTCTTTGTGCATAGGCATTAATTAGGGCATTGTACATCGTCGGGGATGGCTTCATGCCTGCAGACTTCATAACCTCCAAACACTCTATTGCATCAGTAAATCTCCCCGACTT